GGGATAAAATATTAATCCTAGTAATTTTCTTTCTAGTGTAAGGAACTACCATTTACTGAATGCTTAGTGTATGCTTAGTTCACAAAATAACATTGCAGAGAAGATAGTGTTGCTATTATTCTCATTTTACAGATGAGAAAACTGAATCAGAATAAGACTAGGTAACTTGAACAAGGTCTAGAGCTTCAGTCATTACTTTCCTTATTAATTAATTGCTGGCTGAGCCATCACTTGATGTAACAGCAACATGACAGCTTACGGAGTGTAGGGATGCAGGGCCCAAGGTAGTCAAGACAGATGATTAGGCAGAACGTCAGGACCTGAATATCCTCCAGCCAAGTCCCTCTGAATCTGTGAGGAGCCTCACATGTGTCATGCTGCTGTGGTCTAGAATGACGTGCCTAGGTAACCTGGTGCATGGTGGGCTTTCCAAACTAAACTCTGCTCAGTCCAAGGGAGTGGTCTGGTGGACCACTACCAGGGGAGTGGGAGGGAGACCTCCAAAATGGGGCTTTGCATCTCCGCCTCTCTGCTTCACTTGTTCATACTTGTAGATAGCAGTAGAGATAGAACTGAGATAGGGATAGAATTAGAGACTGTGTGTGTGTGTGCGTGAGAGAGAGAGAGAAAGAGAGACCACTAGTTGTGAAAAGAATACCAATTTTGGAGTCCATTTGCTTAGCTTTGATATCCATAATATACTTACTATTAAGTGATTAAGTGACCTGGGCATGGTCTTTAGCTACCCTGAGCTTTCGTTTCCTCACCTGACATATAGCGGGTAGTCAAAGGTTTTTGTTGAGCTAATAAGCCAATGAATGAATAAATAAATAATTTTATACTTTGGCAAAAAGAACTTTGCAAGGTTAGGTTGAGGATTAATGCTGCTACAGCCTGGCACATAGTAAGTGTTTTGCAGATAATAATAATAATAATAATAATAATAATAACAACAACAACAACAACACTTGTCATTATTGATTCAGTGCTTTTATTTTGGATTGATCTAACAGGTGCCCGTGTGGTACTCCTCTCTATGCTAGATGGAGATCCCTCATCAAAATTGAAAGCAAGTATTATATGTTGCTGAATATTTGGAATGTGCCTAAGTCATGAGGGCCATGCCTATTAGAAAGGGAAGACTCTGGGAATCTCAGAAGCTTCTTGGCCCTCCAGTCTTGAAGGTGTGGCTTGAGAAGTTGGGTGGCGAAAACAGTGGCAGCGTGTTGTCTGGGAGAAGTCTCGCCATTGTGCCAGATGTTCCAAAATCATACAGCAACTCAGTGAGCTCAGTTCTTACAGACCAAGAAGTGTGCATGTTTGCTGTCACTGGTGTTCTTGGGGCTTGAATTCCACTACCAGTGACATCCAAGTCTATGGCACATTCATTCTCTGGGTAAGAACAAATTAGGAACCTACAGCCCATTCTTCTTGAAAGAGAAAGGCGTGGGGTGGGGAAGTGTGCTGGGCTTTTGATCTGAAAATTGATGTCTTTACCTAAATCATTTTCAGTTAAATACCATTGTCTTGTGTATCACATTCATCTGCTGGAGACTATAAATTCTCCAAGGTAAGACCTTGTCTTTTCATAGGTTGTGTAAAATGGTGCAGACACTTTCAGCACTTGGGGTATAACAGATGGTTATCATTTATAACAAAAGAATAAGAACAATGGCAGCCTACTCATGTCCTAGAAGCTTGGTGTGCAAAAGGAACCCCATTACATATTTATATTTATATTTATATTTATATATTTATATTTATATAAGTCATAATCCCGTAACAACATATTGTAAAGGTATGCATGTTTCTCACTGGGAAAACCTGATAACTCATTCTTCAAAGTCTAGAAAACAGACTAGTGAGAGTTAATTCTAATTACGTAAAGATTCTTTGCTTTACAAGACAGTTTTTCTAAAGAGTCTCTTTAAATAGCCACATCTCTTTTTGGAGTATTCAAAATTGGATTTGCCTTACAAAATGTTGATTAAACTCAACTTTTCAGGAGCAAAGAGATTGTACAAAAATGGGGCATTGCATGTCAAGTGTTATTGGTGAAGTCTCACTTAGTGATCACAAGGCTCACCATTCCATCCACTGAGCCCATCAAAGTCAGAATGTCCAAATATGGCAGGTGGCTTCTACAGGGCATTGGGTGCCCTCATTCTAGGTAGGAAAGCTAAGCCAGCATTGGGGTCACTGACCATCATTAACCGTGTGAGTCTGGCAGCCAAGGGCATTAATCTGTGCTCTGAAATGATCTTGCATTATTCAGCATGTACTGACATTAGCTTAAATAGGGATACTTTTTTTTTATTGAGACAATTATGAAGAAAAATCTGATTGCTCTTATTCAAATAGATGAAAACAAAATTTTGAGGAGTGATGATGCATTTCTTACTTCATATGTAAGTCATGAGCAGGGAGAGGAAAAAGAGAAATTGGAGTAGGACCAGATAGGAACACAGGGTCCAAAGGGACCCCCCCCCCAGATTACAGACAAAGAAACTTTTACTCCCTGTGTCAAACCCTCTTTTTTTTTTTTAATAAAACCCTCTACTTGTAAGCAGATAGGGAGGTGTCAGTCATTCCTACTCTCTCCCAATTCAGATGCATATCAGAAAAAAGCACTATTTACTACACCACTCCATTTTGCAAGTAAGTATTGTACAGGCACTATATTAGACTCAAAGATGGGAAGAAAAGACAGGGAGGGAAGAAGGAAATGCACATTTAATAAGACAAGTGAATGATTCCAAAGATCATACAGTGTCTTCATGTGCTATTCCAAGCTGGTTTCTCTAATAGAACAATGAGAATACTTCATTTTAAAGTTGCCTACTGTAACCAGATGCTCTATTCATGTGTTTCCAAGGGTCCTAAAGCAAGAGTTGATTCATCTCTGCCTAGATGTAGGCAGGCTGATGAGAATCTTTCAGGAAGTTCTATCCATTGTGCTGAAAGGCTATTGTTAACACTATAGCAAAGTAAGGGCTACACTCAGAATTTTCAGAGGACAGTTTATTTCTGTACTCTGAGTTATTTTCGCTTTCCTGCCTTGTAAGCCTCGCATGTGCTTTGTGTGCTCACAAGTGTCTGGATTTCAAAAGAGAGTGTTTAATATACAGAGTGGGTCTTGGGCCTGGAGATGAGTGTGTGAGCGAGTAGAGGAGAACCGTGAGCGAGGTGGACTGAGAGGTTAAGTTGAAGACTCTGGTGGAGAGGAAAACAGTTAATTCACATTGATGTTCAATACATGTTTGGGTTTGTATTTCATGTTTTGCCACACGTTCAGAAATGCCCGTCTCCTTTCTCATATTCACGCCGTTTCTGTTCAGAACTAGGCCAGCATAGACAGGCTTGCAGAGGAGAGCAATCCTCATCATCCGAGGGAGAGAAAAAAACAAAACAAAACTGAATGTGTACCCTGAGGGGAGATGGCTCTCGAGAGTGTAAAAATGTGTTCCTGGGACCATTTGGAAAAGGGCCGAGGGTGAGGAATCGGGCCGCCAGAGAGCCGAAGCTCCCTCCCTTCCTAGGCATAGGAGTGCAGAAGGTGGGTTGCTCCCGGCGCGGTGGTGGGGGTCGCTCCTCCTCATGCCTGGCCTCTGGCAGGGGAAGGACTGGGCACTGGGAATGTGTGTGTGGCAGAGCCTCACTCTGCCAGGACGAGGTGTTGGGGTATGAGGGTGGGGTGGGGGCCTGAGGGGTGGCTTGGAGCCCTGGCTGTGGCTGCCTGACGTCACCGGCCTCTCTGGCAATAGGCTGCGAGCTGAGCTCCCCGAAGCGGCGGCGGCAGCAGCAGCGAGGCTTGGTCTCTGGCCCCTTCACTCCGCGCCTTCTGCAGCCGCCACTGCAGCCACGCGGCGGGGGCTCCCTCCCTGCAGCCAGCTGGTGGCCCCAGGTAAGGGACGCGGTGCCGCTAAAGGTTCCAGGCTGCTGGGTGGCGGGGCGCGAGTGGGTCGGACAGCCCGGCGGCCTGCGCAGGCACCCCTGGCGGTAGCTTCGGCCCCCACCCTGCCCAGCCCCGGCTTGCGCGCCTCCTCTGTGCTCCGCAGTGCAACAGTTTGCAGCTCCCTCTCGAGAACGGCAAGGGGGCTCTGCTATGCTCTGCGGGTCTGCCTAGCTCTGGTCCCCGGGAAGAGCCTCGGGCTGGGGCTGGGGAGGCTGGAGGGCAAGTCTGTTCCCCAAACTTTGCAAACGAGAGCCTATACCCTTCCATTTCCTGTCCCCCTAGAAAGAAGCAGGATACTGCCGAGTGCGGGGCACAGGGAGATGGAGAGAAGGGGGCGTTTGCGCGGATGTGCTTTAGCTGAAAAAGGTGTTTCAGCTGCTTTTTTTTTTCCCCCCCCTCTGGTTGGGGTTGGGGGGAGTACCAGGGAAGAAGGCTGGAGAATGGATGGAGCGCGATCCAGCGCGTCAGCTGTGGCCACGGACAGAGGCGGAGTAGGATGTGGTTGCTGTGGTACCCCCATGGGAATGGGACTTAAGGGACCTGAAGCCGGCCAGGGAAGAAGAGTCTGGAGGGGGAGGGACGGGAAGGCAGTACTGCGTGCCCGGAGCCCGCTGGCTCGGCGGTTGGGGGTGGGTGCTGGGAAGGGTAGGATCCATAGGAAGACATCCACTCAGAGGGCGAAGGAAGGAGGAGAGTCGGTGTTCTGGGGAGAGGGGACCACGTTCCCAGGCGGCTGTGTGTCTGTTGCAATTAGAAAGTTGTGGAGGGCCCAGGAAGGCTGCCGTATCTGCTGAGTAATCTGTATCTCCGCGGTGCTGGCGCGGACCCCTTCCCAGCGAGGGGCGCGAGCGCGAAAGCTGGCGGCTCGGGTGCGCGGCCAGGGGCGGGCGGGCTGGGGTCCACGGGCTGCGGAGCAGACGGGCAGCGCCCAGCCGAGGCAGTGTGCCCAGAGGGCTGCTTTGCGGTGGTGGCTGATCCTTCCGGTCCTCCGCACTCCCCTGGGCAGCGGCCGGGATCCTAACTAAGCCTGTTCTCTTTGCAGCCTGGTGCCTTGGGAGAGGAAAAGGGCGCGCGGACACGCGTTCCAGGCGGGGCCGGAGAGGATCTCCTGGGCACCGCTCGCTTCCTGGCCGGCTTGCTTGCCCGCAGTTGCTCCCTCAGCCCTTCGCTCGCGCGCGCATCCCCTCCCACACCAGGGAGTAGTTTTGGGTGGCGTGGGCTCCGTCCTCTTCTTGCCTGGTGGGAACGGTGTGCCCGAGAGAGGAAGTCTGGTGGGCCCGGCCCCTCCCAGCCCAGCGCCGATGAGTGCCAGGGCGCCCAAGGAGCTGAGGCTGGCGCTGCCGCCGTGTCTCCTCAATCGGACCTTTGCTTCCCCCAACGCCAGCGGCAGCGGCCACGCGAGTGCCCGCGGCCCGGGTGCGGGAGGCAGCGGCGGCGGCGGCACCTGCATCACGCAGGTGGGACAGCAGCTCTTCCAGTCCTTCTCCTCCACGCTGGTGCTGATTGTCCTGGTCACCCTTATCTTCTGCCTCATCGTGCTGTCCCTCTCCACCTTCCACATCCACAAGCGCAGGATGAAGAAGCGGAAGATGCAGAGGGCTCAGGAGGAATACGAGCGGGATCACTGCAGCAGCAACCTCGGCGGCAGGGGGCTGCCCCCGGCCGGCGGCCAGGCCCCAACCCACGCGAAAGAAACCCGGCTGGAGAGGCAGCCCCGGGACTTTGCCTTCTGCGCCCCCTCCAACGCCTCCTCGTCGTCTTCGTGCCCTGGCCGCCCGCGCCAGGGTCCCTGCGCTCCCCCGCCTCCCCCGCCGGCCCCCAGTCCTCAGGGAGCACACGAAACCTCCTGTTTGGACACAGCTGGCGAGGGCCTTTTGCAAACGGTGGTACTCTCCTGATTGTTTAGCCCCCCTCTTCTCTCCCCTTCCTCATTTCCAGCATCTTTGCCGTCCTTGCTTTTTCTCCCCCTCCATCTTTCCTCTGCCAGTTTTCTCTGGCTTCCCTCCCTTTTTCCTTCTTTCCGTATCTGCCCTCCCCTTACTGTTTCTCCTCCGCCGAGGCACTGTGCGGTATTTGTAAATATTGGGCGAGGAAAGTCTCGGAAGAAGAAATAACGCTGATAATACTTTATTATTAATATTTGTAGTAATTATTATAATACTAATAACACAATCCAAGCGCATGACAAATCACATAATTTCTCATTGTCAATGAAGGACGCGTCTTCCCTCTTCACCCTGCACACCCCTCCCCCCAATAAGGAGGAGAAACCGCACAAGCTACCAAATATAAAAAAGGCGTTGATTCCTGGACCAAAGGGAGTGGAGGGGGCCTGGTGTGTTGTACATAGCTGTCAAATTAAGGTTCAGTTACCTTCCCTTCCTTCCCACCCCCCCACCCCCGGCCAAGCTTTCATTTTTCCTTCAGCTCCCCTCCCTTCCCCATTCCCACCTCCGCAGGGCTCAGGCAATACTATATTATAAAGAAAACGTCTACATTAAGCACCAGAACTACAAGAGGCCACAGAGACAGTCCCAGAAAAACGTGTATGACATGTACCGATCTCTGGTCAGCCCTCTTTCTCACCCCTTAGTTAACCATTCCCTTTTCCAGGACCAGGCATTTAAATTTACTTTTAGAAATGTCCCTCGCTGGCCGAAAATCTTTAAATGAGTTGAAAGAAAAGAAAAGAAAGAGACAGAAAAAAAGAGAAAAAAAGAAAGAAAGAAAGAAAGAAAGGAAAAAAAAAAAAAAGAAAGAAACTCTACTGCTTTAACTCTCTGCCCCACCCCCAGCTCTACACCTTTGACTTGGGGCATTTTAGGATTCACAGAAGATCCAGAAGCTGTCCAGCCGGGTGTGGTGCTGACATTGCTTCACCGGACTGGTTACTTTGTTTGGTTGTGCAGGCAGAGGAGGGGCTGTTTGGGGAAGTGACTATTTTAGCTTTTTGTTGGTTTCTTTCTTCTTTTTCTACAATCGGGTTTGTGTGTACTATTGGTTTTATTATTAAACATTGCATAAGTTACCTTTTTTTGTAAAAAAAAAAAATACTAGGTGATGTGCAGTACTGAAAGTGCAGTATCTAACCAACCAAAATGTTTCTGTTTCATTTTTAGAACAAGTGCACCTTTGTTATATATTTATTATATTGGTACCAAATACAAAAGCAAACTATAGTTCTGTACTACATCCTCCAAACTGTATAGTCTTGTTCTTAATTTCCAGCTGTTGATATAATGGTTACCGCTGGATGAGCAATTCAGTGGTGCAGGCCTGGCTTCTGCTGTTTCCAGAAGTGTTCTTTTGTACCTTATTCTGTAGTAGACTGTTATAAAAAGATAACACATATGTTTCTTTTTTCTTTTGCGAATAACAGAAACAACCACAACAGAAAACAAACGAATAATGGATGTGCAGGAATGCCATCTATTAAAACATGGTTAATATTTAAACAGTGCCTGTAGTCCTGCCTGCATGCAGTTACCACCTGGAGGCAGTGGTGTGTGTGCTTGCTTGTACTGTATGTGTTTGGGGGTGAGACTGGTGGGGATATTGGGCAATTTGGATGACAGGACATGCAAATTTCAAGAGAAGTTAAACCCAGTAACTACTTGTAGGATAACAGTATTTGAAGCTTGTTCAGTTAAAAATTTGTGCCTGCATCTGAGATGCAGTGAAGGAAGGGCTCTTTTTCTCTTTCTCCGTCTGGCTCACCTACGTTCGCTGGATACACCAAAAAAGATGGAGAGAAAAACAAAGTGAGAGAGAAGAAGATCGGTATTTTTATTCTCTCTCCTGATGCCAGACAAGGCCATCTATGTTAGAAATGCAGTCCACCTGCAGTTATTTACCACTTTGTTTCCCTTGGATTGATGATAGAAGGGGCCAGAAGGGTATTACAATCTTAATTATATTCAGTGGCATCCTTTCTTGGGAACCAATTCTTTGACAGCTGTCTAAATGTTTGGATAATGTATGAATGAGAATGTTCTACCGAAAGCTCAACTAAAAGAGTTCTTAGTAACCTGCAGGGTGTAAGGCAACCGTGCCCTTAAGTGCATCCCTCTTCCAAATAGCTAGTAATTCTAGCTTCTCTGTCTTGGTTCCAGGCTTCTGTGCTCTTATCTAGAGAAGAATATTACCTCTGAGGTTTTAGGTCATCTGTTAAATTGCCCAAGCTCAGTCTGCATCTTTTATACAAATAATTTAATAGGCTTAATTTTAATCACCCATTAGATATTCACTCAAGTCCTTTCCTGAAGCACAGAGGATCATCATTTAAGCATGCCATGTTGTAATATTAGGAAGACCAGGTATAATCTTTGGGTTCAGTGTATTAATCAAGAAACGAGATTCTCTCCAGTGCCTTAGTCACTTCCTAGTAATAGGTAAAAGAGTGCATTAACTCCCTCGGGCCACTAGGGAGCCCTTTAGTGCATCAGGCTCTACTTGTACATCAGAATGACTAAGGCACTGTGAAGAAGAAAGTCCATTAATTTTTGTAGCTCACCCTCATCTAGCTGTAGCTGTTTAAGACCTTATTACAGAATGACTTTTGGACTTGAAATTTGAATAGAATCAGGGACTCAGAAGGGAGCTTCCTCATTTCCAATAAGCTCCACTAAGTGCATGGATATTACTTTCTCCCCCTTGTTTGGTGCACTTCTTACAGTGAATAATTTCCCATTTTATTAAAGCAATAAGATGTTCTGTTGTGAGCAGTGCTGGATGATGATTCCATTTCCTTGGTGCTGAAGCTACTCATACGTTTTTGCCTTATGAATCACAGTGCATTCAAGGCATGCAATAATAATCCCCTTCTAAGGAGCAGCCTGTACACTCTAGGGGGTAATTATGAAATTGTCCTATATAATTTTTCCCCAAAGGAATAGGAAACAGGAGAAATGAAAGCATTATGTATACTGTTTAAAAAACATCTTTATATCTCTAAACATGGGCACGCATCCATAATATTCTCTTATTGTGCACCTTTAAATATGTATGCCTTTCTCCATTAACTGACTGTGGTTTAATATTTTTAATAGTGCTCTTTGTAAAGATGATGTGGTTTGTGAGTCAAATTTCATGCTGAGTTTAATATACTCAGAATTCTAAGCTTCTGGTGGTGTCACTTGAGATTTTTTATGAGATAGTGAATTACATGAAATTCTAGTAACACCAGTCCCCACACCAAATTATTGCAATAAGCAAATATCCAGGCAATTTGCACAGACCCTGTTTAGAGCACTGCATCTTATTGAGCTCAATTGACAGTCTCAGGAGTTTGGGATGCTACCAACAGGGCATTTTGGATTTCATTTATATGAAACAAAAGGCAATCTGGAAATAGCTGAATTTATTTTAAGGATTTTATTCACTGATGTCCCGTCAAATGAATTGCTTCAAATCCCTATAGCTACAGTTCAACTTCTGCACTTGCTATTCAATATTAATAAGGTGGCATGCTTGATTCTTACTGTTTTTAAAAAATGAGAAAATTGGAGCGAGAATACCATTATGTCAACTGTATGGGACTCTGAATCTTAAAGATGTAGATGAATATAATCTTCTTTAGAATTTATATACATACACCCATAGATATGTATTTATATATGCATACCTTTTGTACAAATTTACAATGGACTTTTTGTATTCTCTTTTCTGTCATTATAAGAACGAGATGGAAACCAAATCGTTGTTCCATCCTCTTATCCAGAGAGGATACTGAGAAGCCAGGTATATGCATGTACTTATTTCTCTGGGGTTAAATCCGAATGACTTTCTCTTTATTTAATGAAAGGGGAGAGTCTTGTTTGGCTCGGGGAGTTGGTAATTAGATAAGCTTCCTTTCCTAGTTAGTGACTAAAATGTAGCAATGATAATGAACTTGTGACCACACCTGTGCGGTCTAAAAATCTAGATGGAAAGCAAAAATATCTAGAAGAGCTTTAGGGCTATCTAGACCACAAACTTGGATTGTGGCTTGATTTTTTTTTATTTTTTATTTTCAGCCTATATGTTGTGTGGAGATACAACTTCTATCTGCATAGCTAAAGGTAAAGTGAGAATTTGACCCTTATCTGTTTAGTTTGGTATGTAATTTTTGGAAAATATGGATAAATTAGCTTTAAAAAAAACTTTGGCGTCTGACTTCTCCACTATTTCTATCTATATCGATTGAATTAATTAGATAATGGTTAAATTCCATTTTTTTCCATTGTGTAGACATATGCTTTAAATGCTTTTCTGTGGGTGACAGTTGAGCAATTGCTAGCTGATATTATGTGGAATTTATAGGTTAAATTAGAACCAGGAACTTTAATCTGGTCAGACTCCTCAGGTCCAGTTCCCTGTGAATCTGGACTTTGAATCTGAATTTGGAAAACCACTTCTCTGAGCCATCCTTTTTTGGAATTAGTGATTGTGGCTCATAGATGTTTTAGTTCACATTTGAATGAACTGAGCTATCTATGGAGGGGTTGAATTGAACATTAATCTGATTCTGATTTGGTTTCTGATTTACTTGATAACATTTGAGACAGTTTTGATGACTTGACATCAATACTTATTAATGTCACCAACCTAGTGATACAGTTGTTGCCATGTAGGAATGCTTAGCTAAGAATAAGGATTTAATTAACTTTAGTTGAGGACAATGTCTTATCAAGGTAGTTCTACCTGTTTGAAGCAGGGACACTTGTGATTTCGTTGGGTTGCTACCATAGGGAGATTAACAACAAGAAGAATGACAAGAGAAACAGAAAAAAACTGATTTTTGAACTCAAATATATCCGACAGAATGAAACAGATATTAGAATTCATGGAAAATTTGTTTTGCTTTTCTATCAATAAAGGAGTTTTCTTGTTAATTGGCTTTTTGGGCACTATTTCCTTATTGATTTAGAATATAGTAAGATTATAAAATTACTCATTCTATTGCCCTCAGATGCTCAAAGAAATTAGTTTTTAATTATTACTCATCAGAACTTCTTGACAAACCAACTGCATCCAAAACTGGGAAGTTTATAAATTTAGTATCACCCAATAAACTGAGTCCAGTCCATTAATTTAGCAGTCCTTTTAGGCAGATGCTCAGGGTCTCTAGGTCATATACTTAGTCGTTCAGATTTCCTCTTTTCCTGCCTTCTCGAATATAATCAGGTATGTGGAGAAAGGATATGGTTGACATGATTTTGTGGTGATGAGGGAAATGGGAAGCCTCACATTCATATACATTCTTTGGGTCCTAGCTGAACTCCGCTGGAAAGCAGTTGATTAGGACGGCTCTCCAGTCTAAGATGCTGTTGTCCTTTCTAGATTTTGTGCTGACTTTTGCCACTGCAGTCTTAGACCCTGGACCTTTTCCCCCGAGTCTCAAGTCATCTTCCACAGGAGTCTGTATATCCTGCACCCTGCCATCCCTAGGTCCAGCAGGACTCTCACACTTTGTCCTCTTGTAGATATAGGAACTTCTGGGTATCCTGCATGCCATTGACCTACTATTTTTTTTTTAAAGATTTTTTATTTTTTATTAGAGAGAGAGAGCACAAGCAGGCAGAGCAGCAGGCAGGAGGGAGAGGGAGAAACAAGCTGCCCGCTCAGCAGGGAGCCCGATGTGGGGCTTGATCCCAGGACCCCAAGATCATGACCTGAGCCGAAGGCAGCCGCTTAACCGACTGAGCCACCCAGGCGCCCCCCATTGACCTACTCCTGAGAGGCATGGCACCATGTGCCA